GAGAGGAGACTTTTTATTTGTTGGATTGTGTACCCACATTTTTATTTTTTAAAAAGTTGGTGATGTATTTACTTGTATCGGGATTTAAAAATCGAAGAAGGTGGCCAGTGGAGATTTTCCTCCTCCTACCACATCCCCCCACCCAGGAGTCATTTTAGGTTTACTTTATCTGTATACCCACAAGTGCGAATAAATTTTTTTTTCCATAAAAGGGGTGTATGCTGTTACATACTGTTCTTCCCTTTTTTCACTCACAGTGTATCCTGGAAAGCTCTCCATGTTGGTACATAGCTTCCTCACTACTGTTACATAATAGTTTGGTAGATGTATGTATTGTTGTCGCTCTTTTACCCTTAAGGATCTGTAATGAACCATGTGTGTGCGAGTATAACTACAGGTGCATTCCTAGAAGTTACCTTGCTGGATCAAAGAAGATAGACTTGTAACTTTAGGTTTCAGCAGAGAATGTCTTGAGTGTTTCATTGTATACCTTCTATACTATTTAATTTCTCCCCCCACAAGTAGGTATTACCTTTATCATTTAAAAGTGACTCGTTAATGATCTGATTTGGAAATAAGTGCTCATTAATGTGTCTGTTTCATAACCTGTTTGTAAATCAACCGCTTTAAAGTGGTGCAGATATGTATTATTTACTTTTTGTTCCTCCTCCTCTGCTTTCCCCTTAAGTTGGTGCACTGTAATTTGATCAAAGCCGTTTTTTCCCCTCAGATAAAAGCTGGAATTGAAGCTCGCTCAGAAGCCAAAGCCAGTGGACTTCTGTGGGCTGGGCTAGCCCTGCTCTCTGTGCAGGGCGGGGCGCTGGCCTGGCTCACTTGGTGGGTGTACTCCTGGGATATTATGGAGCCGGTGACCTACTTCATCACATTTGCAAATTCCATGGTCTTTTTTGCATACTTCATAGTCACTCGACAGGTGAGTAGTTTGTTAGGAAAATGTGAGTTAGGGACATGTTTTGCAAATAATACTTTTGCAAGTCAAGTAATGAGCAGTAAAGCCTTTTTATTTACTGAATTGCTCCCTGGGTTTTTATAAGCTGATAAATTTTGTTGTTGTTCATGAGGATAGAGATTTATATGCAGCACAGAGAAACTATATATGACCTCTACAGAGAAGTAGTGCAGCCCACAGTTTGTTTTTCTTTTTAAGTTTATTTATTTTATTTTGGGGGAGAGGGAGAGAGCAGGGGAGGGGCAGAGAAAGAGCGGGAAAGAAAGAATCCAAAGCAGGCTCCGACTGTCAGCCCAGAGCCCGATGAGGGGCTCCAACTCCCAAACCTTGAGATCATGACCTAAGCTGAAATCAGGAGTCAGACACTTAACTGAGCCACTCAGGCATGCCCACAAATTTCTCTATTGAGATAAACACATCAAATTTTTTTCCTCTTTGTTTTATAAATAGAATTGAATATGTATTGCAAAAACACTCAGCAACTTTAGCTTTATTACATGACTATTTTGCCAAAACAGTTTTCTTTTTCTCCTTTCTAACCCAGTATGTGTGATTTCTCTTCTCGGCTTGCTTGCTTTTGAAGCAGCAGCTGATCTCAAGCAAGACAAAATGTTTTACTTGTGTTGCCTTATGCTTGCTCTGTTGGCCACTGCAAATATTTTACTCATCTGCCGCCTTTTGCTTCAGTGTTGCTAAGGCAAGTATCTTTCTTGCAGAGACATTATGTTCATTTAAAACATGTTTAAAACATGTTCTTTTTTTTGTTTTGTTTTTCCTTTTAGGATTATACTTACTCAGCTGTTAAGAGTAGGCAGTTTCTTCACTTCTTCCACAAGAAATCACAGCAACAGCATTTTGATGTGGTGCAGTACAACAAGTTAAAAGAAGATCTTGCTGAGGTACTTTAATGCAGATACAGCATCTTCTAGCTGGTCTTGTTTGAGCGCCAGACCTCTTAGTATCAGGGAATAACCACAAGTTAAATCTTGGTCCCAGACAGACTTCTGTGTACTGTGCTTTGCTGAGTGAAAATATTGACGTGAGTGACGCTGATTTCATATCCTAGGGTTTCGTTCTCAACTCCCATATTCTACACGAGGACAGCTTTTAATGGGTATGGAGAAAGGCCTCAGCCGACTTTGAGATAGTAAAATAGTAGTGTTCAGTAGCCGTGTTATTTTCATTCACTCTCTGAGTATGTGTTTTTAAAGAAAACCGTCTTAATATCAAGCTCAACTTTTAAGACCGTAAAAGAAAGTAGACTTGTAGGAAGGTGAACACTGAATAAAGAATTTTAAGCTATTTAAGGCATTTCCAAGTTTCTTCTCCTTAAAAATGGGAGACTCAATATGGTGTTTCCCCCTTTCATCTTTTCCATCTTTCCAGTGTGAAAACAGAGGTGCTTAGTCACTTGTCGGGGTGTACGCTGTTAGAAAGTGGGGAAACCAAGGTGTGAACCCAAAAGTTTGACACTGGAGCCTGTGCTTTTAAGGCCTTACACACAATATGTGTCTTAGGCAGCTTTTATCTCTGGCCTACCAGCAGCCTCACTAGCTTTGTTCAGATGGTAGGTTTCAACACATTAACTAGATTTTTAATTTTTCTTAGTAATTTTAGAAAATGTTTTGGTAAAACTCTCTTCCATTGCTCGGTGCATGCTCATTTAATAGCTAATATTCACAGTATCTTTTATTTCCTGTACCTACTAAACTACTCATCCCTCAAATTAAAAAAATAAAAGATTCCTGGAATTAAACCTGAAGTTCAACAATTGGAGATAACCTTTAAAAAATTTTTCTATTTTGAGAGAGTGCGTGCACACACATAAGTGGGAGAGGGTCAGAGAGGAGGAGAGAGAGAATCCCAAGCAGGCTCCGCACAGTCAGTGCAGAATCCCATGTGGTACTCGGACTCCCGAACCGTGAGATCGTGACTGGAGCCAAGATCAAGAGTCAGACACTTAACCGACGGTGTCACCCAGACACTCTGATTTTAAAGGTGGGGCACCAGGGTGGCACTGTCAGTTAAGCGTCTTGACTCTTGATCTTGGCTCGGGTCATGATCTCACAGTTTATGAGTTCGAGCTCTGCGTCGGCCTCTGTGTTGGTAGTGCAGAGCCTGTTTGGATTCTCTCTCACCTTCTATCTCTGCTCCTCCCCAAATCTGTCTCTCAAATAAACTTAAAAAATTTTCTTTTTAATTCTATAAAACCACTACTTGGGAAACATACAATTATTTTACTTAGTGTGTAGTCTTATATTTGAATGATCTAATCCAAGTAGCCTAAGGGATGGTCTTCTCACTAGTTCACAGCACTGGGCATTTAGGATTTAAAGTAGCAGCTGTGAAATATTTTTTTTTAAGGTTTTTAGCGTGAGGAAAAAAGACTGGTACGTCACAAAGTGGTTTTCTTTTCAGATAACTAGAAAAACCATTATAAAGGGACAGTGAATAGAACAAGAACTTGAAAGATGTATCAGAAACCTTAAATTCCTCTTTTCAAAAAAGGATCCCTATTCACTGAAATACTGTAAACATTTGCCACCCGTCGTTTAAATGTGTTTATTAACCTAAGGATACATTAAGTTTATATATACATTTATTCCTCTCATGCAGTAACATCCTGTTTCTCATTCTCTCTGATAGCGTACTTTTTTCTTTTTCCCACTGACAGGCTACGGAGTCCCTGAAACAGGTGCGCCACTCGCTCTGTCTGCGAATGCAAGGAGAGGAAGTCCGTGAAAAGAATTAATCTTACATTTTTAAATGTCATTGTATTTTTCCAGTGTGTGTGATTCTCCAACCTAGAAACTGGAACTTTGAGTCCCGTAGTTCTTTTGAATTTGATTGTTTCAATCTCTTTTGTTAATTAAAAGAAATGTGGAACATGGGTATTCTTTGAAGTTCTCACTTGAGATTTCTGGTTTGTGGATTCGTGTGACTTGTCCTGGATTAATGTGGAAAGGAGCTTGGGCGCATCCATCAAAGTCGGGGCGGCTGCTCCTCAGGCGCGTGAGCTCCAAGTTCTTGTCCGCCTGGATGCGAGGAGTAGTCTGTGTGGGTGGCATTCACTTTCCTTCTTAGGCTTCCTTTAGAATCCTCTTGTCATTATTTTTAAATAAGTCATAATAATTGGAAGATCTTTATCATTATAGTTTAAAATTATAAGATGTCGTTCGAAATGTGTCATCTTAACGAATATTTACTGAGATAGATCCTACTCTCATGATTGATGCTACCTGTGCTGACTGGTGTGAGGTGATCTCTCATGACAGCTTTCATTTGCATCTCCCTGATTAGTGATGTTGAGCGTCTTTTTCATGTATCTATTGGCCATTTGTCGGGCTTATTCAGGTCCTCTGTCCATTTTTTAATTCAGATTGCATTTTTTTGTGTATGTGTGTATTGAGTTGAGGGAGTTCTTTATATAATTTTAATATTAATCCTTTATCAGATATGTGATTTATAAATATCTTCTTCCATTCATTAGGCTGCCTTTTTGTTTTGTTACCTTCGTTGTGTAAAAGCTTTTAGTTTGATGTAGTTCTGTTTATTTTTGCTTTTGTTGCCCTTGTCTGAGGGCAGGTGCTCAGACCAGTGTCCAAGAGCTTACCTGTATTTTTCTTCCATTTTCTGCCTAGTTTTATGGTTCTAATGCTCACATTCATGTCTTCAAACTACTTTGGGTTTTTTTTAATAGATGGCTCAGTTTCATTCTTTTACATGTAGCTGTCCATTTTTCCCAGTACCATTTATTGGATTTAGAATTCTTCGTTCTAGTTCTGTGAAAGTATTACTGGTATTTTGATAGGGGTTACACTGAATCTGTAGATTATTTAGGCAGTAGGGACATTCTAACAATATTCTTGTAATCCATGATCATGGTATATCTTTCCATAAAGGCTTTTTATAAGTGAGAGTTGAAGTCCTATACAAAACGTGATAATTCAGATGTAGATGAATTTGTATGACCAAGTACAACAACTGTACTCTGAATTATACAAAGGAGTAAGAATGTGAATTAGAAAAATTAAAGTACGAATTTCAAATATTTTATTAAGGGGAAACAACTAGTTTTTGGGTTTCAGAAACCTTTAAGAACATTATCAAACTTATAAAAACTTAACAAAATACAAGTTAAATCTTCCAGATATTTTTGAGATTTACTATAAAAATCAGGTATTAGAAATGTTTGGATTTTTGTTTATAGTGATTCCCTGAGGATTTCATTTCATATATATCAAACCTTTTTCATCTAATATCAGTATGTCTAATGCCAATATGAACTATTTTAAGTTCTCATTAAGCCTTAAAACATTTTAAATTGCTATACCATAAGCCTCCGCCTTAGTGATATTTATATAAAAGGACAAAAATCTGTTTTGAATATAGACAAGATACATAGTTTAGATATCTGTCACTTAGATTTCGGAAAGAAATACAGCTTCTTAGTAAGCATTGAGGCAAAGCAGGGAACCTGCTTCTTTCCAATTGCACTTAGGTCTTTGCAAAAGTCCACTCGGCGCTGAGAAACTTTCCTGTTCACCAGGGTGAGGAGCTCTGTGAACTCTAAGGAGGAGCCAAATTTTCCTAGCATCTCACACAAATCCTGAATGTACCATGAGCCATTCACAGTTTCCCGATGAGAATAATAACCTAAAAGGATAGGAGCAAAAAGGGCACTAAAGTTTCTTTGGCATTCCATTATGATGACTGAATAACACCTTTATCATTCACCATTATAGAAGTAGAAGTTCTCAAAAATTCTTGAAGAAGAGGATGTGTCAATGACAGCTTTAAAATTATCGGCTGACCAATTCTTATGAGATAGGGGATTAAATTATATAGCTTTATAAAAATGAGGTTAGCTCTATGTAATTTTCTCCAGTAATTTCCTCCATTTCCTAAAATTTCCCAAGATGACAGCAGCCAGGCAGTGATTTTAACACAAGAGATTATGCAATAAGCTGTTTTTCTTTCTAAAGAACAACAGTCATCAAAAAAGCTTTCTGTGGATTTTATCATGACACTATCAAAATCAGTAATTGGCAGTAGCCTGCTAATATTCAGTGTAACTTGTAGCTTAAACCTAGTTCTCGAGAAGTTGTTTTACACTTCATGTATCCCCTGCCCATGTGACCTAATAAGACTGTGAACTTCACTATCAAATCACCTTGTTCAGATAGAAATATCTGTCTCTAGTCAAGGTGAGGTGAAACTTAATGGAACTCAAGTCAGGAAAACAATTCTGTTTGTATTGAACACACACCCACCTTCTGCAACAGAGTAACACATGAGAAAGTCAGCTCCGGCAGGCAGCGTGGAAACGGAGGCAGCATCGACCTGGGTTATGTTGACATCCGGCTTGTTTTGATGATCCACTATATCCAGAGGAATGACGGGCACATCATGCTGGTCTCCCCGACATGCCTACAAGACAAGAAGGAAAACCATTTCCTTTTCTTACCTCTTTCCTTCCCACTACTGAATGTTTACAGTGATGTATAATGTAGCACATCTTACCAACATCAACAGAAGCCACTTTATAAACACTTCAAAAACCATGCAGTCAAGTTTGAGAGCAAATTTACCTGACAGTTTTCCCCTATTCATGTTTTGTTTTTGATTTTTTTTTAATATTTTTATTTACTTCTAGGAGAGAGAGAAACAGCGTGAGCAGGGGAGGGTCAGAGAGAGGGAGTCACAGACTGAAGCAGGCTCCAGGCTCTGAGTTGGCAGTCAGCACAGAGCCCGACGCGGGGCTTGAACCCACAAACCGCGAGATCATGACCTAAGCGAAAGTCGGACGCTCAACCGACTAAGCCACCCAGGCGCCCCTATTTTTTATTTTTTAAATGTTTAGAGAAAGCATGAGCAGGGGAGGGGCAGAGAGAGGGAGACACAGAATCCGAAGCAGGCTCCAAGCTGTCAGCACAGAGCCCAAAGCAGAACTTGAACCCAAGAACCTGAGCTACAGTTGGACGCTTAACTGACTGAGCCACCCAGATGCCCCAGAAACTGAAAACTTTATTCTTTGTTAAGAAGGAATTACTAATTGCACCTCTGGCCAGGAGGCTAAAGGAGCCTTTCCAATTACTGGAGAAAGTTACTTTCAAAACTGGCTTGTGTCCTTTATAATCACATGTACATGGGGCACCTAGGTGGCTCAGTCGTGAATGTCCAACTTCAGCTCAGGTCATGATCTCGCGGTTCGTGAGTTCAAGTCCCACATTGGGCTGTCTGCGGTCACTGTCAGCACAGAGTCCGCTTCAGGTCCGCTGTCCCCCTCTCTCTACCCCTCCCCTGCTTGCACTCTCCCCAAAATCTTAAATAAAAATAAAGCTATAATCACATGTACAGAACATGGACTTTATAATTATAACATAATCAGTCTTACCTGAATAATAAATATCTTGGGTTTTCCAACTAGGCTCTGACATTTGTCTCCTTTGAACAGGCCAGTCAAAGTCTGAATTTCAATCTTGGTATCTTGTGCATAAATGTGATTGCCTTCGCCATGACTCAGGAAAACACATAAAAAGCAATCAGCATCTACATGGCTAGAAGATGATGCTATAAAGGGCCACAAAAGTTCATAGAGAAATGAAGATAAGATGCTTATGATCTACATACAGAAACAATTTACTAAATGGAAGTGGAAAATGTATTATAAAAAATGTAAATAATGAAAATGTAAGGTCTTAGTCTTTAATCAAAGGAAAATTGGTACCGTACCATATCTGATTTTTAAAAATCTATTAAAAGTTCAGAGTTTAAACAAATTTCATGAACTTTTCTACAATACAGAATGATGACATGAGAAACATAATGGATTATTGTGGCATTAATAAAAGTTTCTTTGAATTAGCAGAGAGCTTCTTAGAGCAGACTGGAAAGACCCAGCAACCACTAGTTAGCAACTGCTCTGTTCTGCTGCACCTCCAACGAATGCAGCAGCTTCATTATATGTCTGTAGCATTTACTGCTTCCAAAGAATATTAAGACATGAGACTGATGTCCTCCAGAGCGGAGGAGTAAGCGAAGTAGAAAACCTAGTAAGAAGCCAGTTAAAATGATTTACTGATTAAAGAAGTCTCATATGGTGGTGTCTCAAAAAATTAAAAACAGAACTACTGTAAACTCCAACAATTCCACTTCTGGGTATTTACTGACGAAAACACTAATTTGGAAAGATACCTGCAGCCTCCTTGTCTATTCAAGCACAACAGCCAAGATACGAAAACAACCTAAGTGTTCGTCAATGAACGGATGAAGAAAATGATATAGACAGATCTCTATATACCCATATATAGAGATACACATGCAAGAATATTATTCAGCCATAAAAAAGGAAATCTTGGGCTTTGCAACAACATGGATGGATCTTGAGGTCATTATGCTAAGTGAAATAAATTCAAGAAAGACCTATACTATATAATCTCTTATATGTGCAGTCTAAAAAAACAAACCAAACTTACTGATAAAGAGAACTCTTTGGTGGTTGCTGGGGGATGGGGTGAAGTGGGTCAAAAGGTACAGACTCCAATTATACAGTAAGTCCTGGGGACATGATGTACAGTATGTCACCTATAAGAATACTGTATTGCCTATCTGAAAGTTATGTTAAGTAAAATTTTAAAGTCTATCACAAGAAAAATAACGTTTTTGTAACTCTGTATGGTAACAGATGGTAAGCAGACACTTGGTGAGCATTTTACAATGCATACAAATACTGAATCATTATGTTGAAACTAATAGAATGTTACATATCAGTTATACCTCAATTTTTAAAAAGCTCTGAGGTTTAAATAATTATGTAAATATTATAATAGTCCATTGGCAAGTAACTTGAAAATCCCTAGCGTGCAGTAATTATTACAAACATAAGTTGTTAAAACACATACTGCATAGCGATGTTGATATTTGGAGACCATATATATAAATCCAGTTTCTGTCTGTTTTGTAACTTCACAGTATGTTGAGGCCAGTAAAAAAAAAACCTGGGTCTGGAAGGAGTCATAGCACATGACTGCCAAGTATCTGTAGTGGTTGCAGTTTAGACTTGATTCATTCATTTCTAGAACGACAGACTGTTAGCAGGAAGAATGCTAAACAAAAACTCTGGAGGCAAAATCCTTTGGAAGAGTCTGAATCTGGTGGTAACATATAAGCAAAGAGGCACAATGGAAACCTAGAACCCATGCCAATGGATTTGGTTAGACTTTCTTACAGCATTATCTGGATTACAGATAACTGAAGCACTCCATCCCCTCAGGAGACGAACAGGAAAACTACTTACCCTCATGGATTGTGAGCAGGAGCTCTTCTGCTTTCAGATCATTAAAGCATTTCACTTCAAATCCTAGCTCTGAAAACCTGGTGATACACTGGGTATTAGCTCATGAGCTATTCAAAGTCGTCATGTACTCCTCTTTCCCTGAGGAATCTATACGTGTTTTTATGACCTAAGTTGACTTTTCTTTAGGGGGAAAGAAAAAATGAAATGACAGTGATCATTTTCCTTATTCACCCACAGCAGGAAAGGATTTACTCCTACTGAAAGCTGATTCAAGTTAGGATACGGCCATTGGCCACTATACAAATATACATGTAACAATTCAAAGCCTGATAATGTCTCATGAAACAGGGTTAGGAAGAACATTCAGGCACGTTCTCAAGGGATGCTGTGCCCAAGTGAGGCTCATCTGGGTACTCTTAATTTCATTGGTGTGGACAAGTTTTGAGAAGTGTCACTTTATTAAACATGTCCTCTCTTGACTTGTGGGTAAAACTAGTACCTGTGAGGCACCTGGAAGGCTCAATCAGTTAAGCCACTCCTGATTTCAGCTCAGGCCATGATCTCACAGTTCCTGAATTCGAGGCCTGCGTTGACAGCACAGAGCCGGCTTGGGATTCTCTCCCTCCCTCTCTCTGTCCCACCCCACTTGCTGGCTTTCAAAAATAAACATTCAAACAAGCAAACTAGTACCTGCGCTTAAGATTTTCTCTGTCTGCGTTGGTGCCCCGCCTTTCTGGCAGCGTTAAGCGCCAGGAGAACCTCTCATGATTGAAGATTAAAGCGATTCCTCTCCTCTTGTGGTCCATTTTGTACTTTTCTGCCGGATCAAATGTTTCACTGTTAATGAAAAGTTTAAACAACAATCACTAAGTCATATTAAATAATGAGCTCCTACAACCCCAAGATCAACGGGTAGGGCAGACAGAGGCCTGCCGTTTCCTCCTCCTCTGCCAGGCTTGCCGCCATGCTACTGCTGTGCCCTGGGAGAGCCTCGCAGAAATAGTTCTGTGCTGATTGGTAAACGGTGGCTTTCCGGAGCTCCCCACCCGCAGTCTCCCCAGGGCGTCTTTTCTCCAGGAACCAGGGACAACAGCGGGCATAGGCCCCGGCTCCAGGGCCCGTGCCACACCGGTCACTAAGTACTCTGGATATCACTGTAGGTCCTGAACCGACCAGGGCAGCAGCCAACCCGAGGCTCCACACGTTGGTTCTCCCAGCGCTAACACTCGCCATTCTCTGCTCTGCTTGCTCCCTGCCGCCGTTCTTGCTTCTTAGGGGCTGATCGCGACCAGCAGAGGAAGAGACCTTTGTTAGGAAAGGGCATGTTTTTACCTCTTATAGAAGGCATCTGTTTCCGTCATGTTTTCCTCCTCACCTATTTAAAAAGTTGAATTTTGTTAATTTATTTTTTGACTTGTAACGCACCACGGGGCTCCCATACTGTAAACCCTTCTCTGGTTTTGGTTAGTTTAAAAGTCAAAGTATATGAAAAGGGGAAAGGAAAAGGAAGGGAACCTGCTTAAAAATAAATAAACTATAACAGCTCAATTCTTTCTCACCCAGAACTCTTATTTGCAAAATAGGAAAGAATATGATCGAGATAAATGGAGGAGATATTATGCAAATGTATTCACTGCGAACTATACCTACAGTAACATGGTTCTGTGATTGTGGAGCACAAATGAAGTACGGAATTGTTCAGCAGCAAATGTTTTTCCAAATATTCTCTGAAACCGAAAAGGAATTAAAAACAGGCGAACTGAAACACAGTGTGTGGTTAATACCGGATCCCTCTCTGATCTGGAGGAGGTAGAAGTTTGGGTGGGTAAAGGCTTAAATTTTGGATCTCCCGAATGATAGATCTGCACTTACAACCCATCAGGTGATGGAGACCCTCTGCTCCTGACCGGTGCTCCGACTCCCCCACCCTCTGGACCACCTTTCACCGAATCCTCCTCTACTCCCTAGAGCAATGCTGTGCAGCAGCACCGTGTGCGGTGACGGAACGGCCCGGGACCTGTGCTGTCCCACGTGCGAGCCGCGGACCACATGTGGCCGTCCAGCACCTGAAACGGGGCTAGTGCAGCTAAGGAACTCAATTCTTCATTTCAATTTAGATAACCATGGTGGGCCGTGGCTTCTGTACTAGGGCACAACGGGTCTAGCACCTTCTACAATACAGGGCCAGGCACCCATGACTCTGTTTTTACCTGACACACTTAGCCCAGAGGGGAGGGAAAGTTATGAATAAACCAATATTAACAGTATAGCAAGATGCTCGTCTCTACTGAGGTCACTGAAGGAAACGCGACAGACCTTCCCACCCACCCCCTTCTAACCAGGAGGGTCCCGTTCCCCTCTCTCCCGGACACCTGACTACTCTAACCTCACGCCTCCTCCCTGACAGAAATCGGCCCTGAGAGTGAAGGTGAGGCTGTCATTCAATTCTGTGCTCTTTACCACTCACTCTCAGCCTGCTCCTCCTGGAATTCACCCGGTATCCAGGCCTCACAAGCACCCCATGAAGGCCCTCTACTGTCCAACAGACCCTGCATCAGTTTTTGTCAACCTTTGCATCGATTCCTGGCCTGGGTGATCAAATACACATTCCTGGGTCCTAACCCAGATTTACAGAATCAGAATCCCAGGAGAGGAAGAAATCTGCATTTTTAACAAGGTGATTTTTATACCAAAGTTCAGGAGTAAAGAGCAGCTTCCTTAATGTGTGGATTAAGCATACATTAAGCACAGCCCCTCCCCCATCTCACATGGTGTCATTCCTACTCCACGCACTGTTCTACCTGGATACCTCCTTAAAAAATTTTTTTAAATGTTTGAGAGAGAAAAAGAGAACATGAATGGGGAAGGGTCAGAGTGAGGTAGAGAGAGTCCCAAGCAGGCTCTGCACCGTCAGCACAGAGCCCACAAACCATGAGATCACGACCTGAGCTGAAATCAAGAGTCGGATGCTCAACCAACTGAGCCACCCAGGGCCCCTGCCTGCTCCCTGGGGGTCACGTCCTATTCCACGCCCTGCTGTCACCCACACACCACACAGCGCTCCACCAGAGTTAACCTGGCGTCGCCTACGCTACCGAGGCACCACTCACACATCTACCTGTCTGGGACACACCTGCTCCCCATGCTACTCTACCAGAGAGATGTTCTACTCTTCTTAGTTCAACAGTGACTCTACCTGGAAGACTTCCAACTCCAGACACCGCTCATACTGCTGGGGGGGGAGGGGGGGAGGGGCTAGTCCCACTTCACACCCCCGCTATGAAAGATACTCCTTCTCTGCACACTTTCCTATCGGAGGTACTTCCTGTTCCACACACTGCTCCCCTGACACTACTTCCTACTCCACAAACTGCTTTATGCAGAAACTTCCACGCTACGTGCCGCGGTCTAGGGGAAGTGCACTCTACATGCTACCCAGGATATTTTCTCCCATTCTGCTTTCCCTGGGATACTTCTACCCCACACCCTGCTCGACGTGAACCACTTGCCGCCAAGCCGTGCTCTATCTGAGGACAGCCTCCTTGGCACACACCCCTCTGCCCGATGCTTCCGACCAGCCCTTGCTGCACCCAGCACGCCGCCTCCTGCACACGGTGCTTCCTACTTCACACGCTGCTCCACCAAATAGTCTCCTATTCCACAGGCTTGCGGGCTCCATGCACTGAGTGCTCCCTACAGCAGTGTTCTACAGGGTGACTTTATACACTGCTCTACCCGGGACACTTCCTACTACGCCTCCCCTCTACCCGGGGATACTGCCCTGTGGACACACTGCTCCACCCGGGATCCTTTTTACTCTACACATTGTTCTACGTGGAATACCTCTGACTCCACACACTGTTCTGCCCTGAACACTTTCCACCTCACACCCCATCCACGGAGATTACTTCCTGCTCCCTATACTGCTCTACGGAGGCCGTTTGCCTCACCTTCCATTTTCAAATAGGTTTCAGGATCCACCTCCTTTTAATAGCCTCACCTCCTTCTTTGAAATCAATTACACAATAAAGAAACGGAACACAACTCAAACTAAACATATCCAATCGCTGCATGAAGGACATTCACCCCATTCACTCCCCCGAAAGCTGCACAATTTGGGAAGCATAGAACTCTTGTGCACACGGTGCACAAAGGAGCAGACCCCGCAGCTCACCTCTTCTAGCCTTTGCTCATCGGTCAGTGAGCTAGTGAGCCTCAGGTCGCTCGAAGGGCAGAGGGTGGAAGCTGTGCCGAATGGCCCCACCGCCAACTGACTCTAGTCATGGAGGGTGAAAGCACTGGAGATGTGCACTCGACTGGGTCCTTAGCGTTCATTTTCTACAGTTTAAGGAAGGAACTGCGCCGTTCCTCCTGGCTACACAGAATTCAAGCTGTGCATCTGGCTGTCTCAAATACTGCCCTCAGCTACGGTTAGGAAAAAGACAGTTTTAAGTAACTCAAGCTAACTTAAAAAAACATTGTTTCAGGGCGTCTGGGTGGTGGCTCAGTTAAGTGTCCAACTCTTGATTTCGGTTCAGGTCACGATCTCGAAGTTCGTAAGTTCAAACCCTGCATCAGGCTCTGCACTGACAGTGTGGAGCCTGCAAGAGATTCTTTCTGCTCCTCCCCCCACAAACAAATAACTAAATAAAACTTTTCAAAAATAACATTGTTTAAAAGTTAACAGATTCGGCAATCTCTGAGGGATTTTCCAAAAGCGTGTTCTTGTTACTGTTAATACTGTGGATGCAGAAGGAAACTGGTATCTGAGAACTTTAGTTCAGACCCTTACCAGCTCAAACCCCACTCCAATGTAAATGTGCATCCTGCACCCCCAGTTAATGATCAGGTCCAGCTGCCATTCTGTTGCAGCTACTTGTTCAATCAGGACAGAAAGCGATGGGCACAACACGTTAGAATCTAAGTTGCAAAACTTTATTGGAGTTGATATATTTTACTCAGGTGCCATGTAAAATAACACATTGGGACTCTGGCCGTATGTCCTAAGCGGACAGATTTTCAGGAAGGGCGCACTTTAAAAGGAGTCATTACACTGCAGGAACACAAAGTTACCTGCCTAAAAGGGTAAATGACTCTGTCGACATGGAGAAAATTTTAATGGAGATGCTCCATCTAACAGATTTGTAAAGTCCTGTGCATCTTCAATCTATTTAAAATGGGTCCATCATTAAACTTGCCTCTTGTGCTCTTTTCACTTTTCCGTGCCTCTGATTTAGGCGATTTGCTTTTCCACCAGGATGCGACTACCGCCTCTTTGCCCCTTAAACCAATTTAATTTTTACCCAGTTAATCACTCCTTTTTTCTCCTCACCACATAATCCTACCAGCTATTATTTGTTGATGGCCCTGCACGTTGGATACTTTCCCTGCCTCAGCCCCACAGCCCATGAGGCAGAGTGTGTGTCATGCTTGCCCCAGGTCGCCATGCTAACCCCCTCCAAGCAGAGAAACCAGCTACCTTCCTAAACTAAGTGTTCGTTTCTCCCAACTTCTCCAGGACCTACGGTTATCGTCATCATTCCCCGCAGTATCTACGAAAATCTACCCATGTCAAGAATCTGTTTCATAATCCTATACTGAGTAAACCACGTCGGGCCGAGAACCCAGTAAAAAAGGGGTGGGACGGCCACAAAGGAAGGACGGGGAAGGAGAAGGAAAACAAAGGGAGAAGAAGAACGGAGGGGGAAGCGCCCTGAGCAGTGAGTGGTCGGCATCCTGGACCCCTGGCCCTGCTCCCCACCCCGCAGCACAGAATCCAGAATGGGACTGGCCACCGGACACTGCACGGTCTGTCGAGGGCAAGGCCACTCTCTGAACGACCAAGGTGACTTCCTACAACTTGCCTCTGGGGCAAGCCTGGTTTTGCGCAGCGACGAATAAAAAGCTCTAAAATAAAGGCACTGTGCATCAACTTCTAGAGGTTCAACCTTCCCTTCCTTCCCCCAGCCGCCCTCCCCCACTTTATTTTACTACGGCCATGCTCGAAGTTTCTTCAGCTATCAGTGATATAATTAATACATGACAGGGAAGAAAGTTCTAAAGTACACGTTTAGCAGTTGACTGTAGAGAAAGATGTGGCCTCAACCCAAACCCACGAACGGTCCTGACTGCGGGAGGAACTGGAGCTGCACAGCCAGCCAAGGCCTAGTTTCGTCCCCAACTCAAGTCGGGGCACACCCAGGGGCTCCGGTGTGGTGCTCCTGCCGGCTGCTTACGCTGCCATTATAACGCATGCAACCACTTCTTTTCCTTTTTACTCTGGAGAACACAAAACCAGATCCAACTTTCAAAAGTCAAGTTTCAAAAACAACCAGGGGCGCGGGCGCGGTGGGGGGTGGTGGTGGGGGGTGGGTGAGGTGCCAGCACCCGCCCAGCCAGCCTTCCAAGGTTTAAATGGCCCGACGTCTGGAAAGAAAGAACGTCCGGAGGACAAAGGCGGCGCGGGCACGCCCCTGCGCCGGGCGCCGCTACCCCGGGCGGCCCTCAGGCGGCCGCGACCCCGCACAGAGCCCTAGGCTGGATTCCTGGACCAGAAGGCTAACAAGCTGTCCCCCACCGGACTTGCGCGCTTCCCTCCAAGACCCGCAACTCCTTCGGGCCGTCCAGCTCCCGCGTGCCCGCTCCCGCCCGCGCGCCCCGCGCCGCCCTCCGGAAGCTGCCCGGCGCCCCCTCGGACACCCGCCGGGCCTACCTGCAGGGCGAGCCCCGCGGAGCCCCGGCGCCGAAGTCACAGCGTCCCCGTCCGCGGCGCCGACGCCCGGGCGAGACTCCGCTTCCTGCATCCAGGGGCCCGCAGCCCCCGCCTCTTCCTCCGCCCCCGCCGGCCGCCAGCCGCCCGCTCCCGGGAGGGGGTGGGGGCTGCGTCTGCGCTCGGTGCCTCCCGCCCGCCGAATTCAGGCTCCTGCCCCCTCACTCCCGAGCTCGCCGCGACCAGAGCGCGCGGGGGAGGCCGGGGACGCGGCCTCGTCCGCCAGGCGCTTGGAGACGAGCCCGGCCCTCGGGAAATGCCGGTTGGCACCCCGAGGACACACGGGCGGCCCAGAACTGGGAAGCCACAGGTGGTTTCACCGCACCTGCGGAGAACCGAGGCTCGCAGTCCCCGCCCCCAGCGTTTGCTCCTCCCCCCTGCCTCCCAGGGCGAGGGTCTGCTTGGGGAATTCTGGACAGTAAACTAGACGCAACCCTGGGATTTTTAAGTCGAGCTAATTCGCGAAGCAGTCGTAACTTCGGAGCCGGAACTTTGGGGTCTATGTATGTAGTCCTCACCCACAAACTGCGCTGACTGAGCGCCACCGGGTGCTCAATGTTGCATTGAACCGAGCTCCTCCTTCGGCGGTTGGCTGTCACAGCGTGTGTGAATTTGCTTCAATGAACAACTCTACGATCGGATGAAAAGGTGGCCTTATCTTCTGTAATTTCCCTGGGTCTTGTCATTTAAAAAGTAACCTCAGGCTGCGGGAAACATGTGTTGAAGTACCATTTTTAACCCATTAAAATAAGTTCATAAGGGATACTTAAGTATAAGGGATCCGTCTTCAATAGATGATACCCTAGCTGAGAGAGTAAAATTAAAATCCAACTTGATAACTTTTCCCACGTATGCTCGCGTCATTAACTAGAATATGAAATCAGAGGATTTTTCTCACCCAACGCCATTTACTGTCCATTGTGTGTGCAAAACATCTCAGAAATCTGGTTTTGTAACTTACTCTGTAGTCAAGATGTAGCATATCACTCTAGGCCTTGTATGGTTGTTGTGGAGATTAACTGAAATGACCAATGAAGTTTTGGGGTGCTGGTGGGGTGGTCAGGAGCCGAGGACCAAGAAAGAATTCTTGAAGATGTTTCTGGTGCAAAAAGGTGATTTTATTAAAGCACAGACACAGGACACGTGGGCAGGTAGAGCTGCACTGGGGCTGCACTGGGGCTGTGACGGGTAACAGGTCTACGCTACGGAATTGGAGGCGGTAAAGAGTAAAAGGAGGCCTTTTATACGCTAACAAGGACTTCTGAGATGCCTGAGGCCTTGCTATTATCAAGCTAAGGTGGTTGTTCCATCTCGCTAATGATTTTAAGATGGTAGGGAGTTCCTGAGAAACATTTAACTCTGCCAACCTCATGTATTTGTCAATGAGTTGCAGGTTATAAGGAAATTTAATTTCACTTGCCAGTTCCTTCTGCCTTTGTTCCCCATATCACTATGGGTGATGTTGGGGTTCCAGGAACCCGAGTCTATAGGTTTCTGGAAATTAGGCTGTTGATAAGATTGCCTTTTTCTTGGGGCACCTGGGTGACTCCATCAGTTAAGCATCCAGTTATGGCTCAGGTCATGATCTCGGGGTACGTGAGTTGGAGCCCCACACCGGGCTCTGTGCTGGCAGCTGGGAACCTGGAGCCTGCTTTGGATTCTGTGTCTCTGTGTCTCTTTGCCCCTTCCGACTCACACTCTGTCTCTCAAAAATAAAAATGATTGCCTTTTTCTTGCAATTTACTAAGGTATTTGTGACTGGAGACCTATGTCCTGTATGACTGTGATTTCTCTCAGTTAACCGTTTGTTTTCTTTCCTTTCGTCTGTTCTTGGGCATCTGAGTGCCTGAGGAATAGCACACATGTCCCATGGGGTGGGGGGCTAGCTTGTATTTTGCCCTCAACCTGCCTTATGCTCCTTAAAACAGTGCCTGGCTCGTGAAGAGCTCCAACTGTTTTTGTTACCACCATCTTTAGCTCATTGAAAGCAAGATTTGTCCCCATTAGGGGAAACAGTTGCTTAGCATGTAGGAGGTGCTCAGTAAATATTTATCCATTGAATGAGATCCAGGGTTTCAGCATTTGCACTCTGGACTTTATCCAGTCTGAATGTGTTATCTGGCCACCAGAACTTCCTGTCCTTTTGCCTAATTTTCAGGGTCTTCTCTGCTTGAGTCCTGAAAACACTCCCCCCACATAGGTGTGGAACCCCAGTTGGCTGACTTCCCACTTATCTGAAAGGTACAGATGAAAGGAAAAGTTTTATCCCCCCCCCCAGTATCTCGTTATCTCAGAATATTGTATTACTTTTTATAGCATATGTATGTGGTTATATTTTAAAGTAAGACTTTGTCTGCCTGAAGACACAAATACAAAGCATTTTGGGATACTTATTTCAGAATTATAAATGTGTAATTTTAGCCTTTTAAAGCAAGAGCTATCCCCATAAAATGAGTGCCGAGGATTGGAAAACAGGCTGCCTAGATTCTAACCCCGGCTCCACCATTTTCTTAGCTGTGAGACATTGCACAAGTAAATCAGTTTAACCCCTGCCAGCTTCAAATTCTCATCTGCATAATGGGAAGCAAGCTTACTCAAGTTTTGGAGACAGTAACTGTCAGCCTCCTAGAACAGTACCTGGCTCACAGGAAGCTTTCAGTACAGTTTTAGCTACTGACAGAGCTTCCTGTCCTTTTGCCTAATTTGGCCTAGACCAGTTCTCAAACCCTGGCCTCTGAGGCAGCAGTAGGGACCTCACCAGGGAACTTACTAGCAATGCAGACTCCTGGGACCTACAGAATCAGATCTCCTGGAGGCTGGGTGGGGCTCAGCAGGGGTTTTAATGCCAGAATCCAATGACTCGGCTGCCCTATCTTCTTTGAAAACCACCAACATAGACTAATTAGAATCCTACCAATCCCACCTTCTTAAAGAAGGTAAGAAAAACAAAAACAAACCCAACACGAAAGCAAATCCATATTATTAAAATAATCAAGATACATTAAAGACTGAAAGGTAACTGACAGGATGGCTTAAATGTCACTTTCATAGAACTTACTGAAAGGTCTTAGCCAATGTCACCTATACTAAAAATGAAACATACGGAACAAAATTCAGAGACAATTCTCAAATTTTGGTCTCTTTTTTTCACTTTACCCCACTAAGCCTGATTTTCCCTATATAAATCACAGAAATATTAGATTCCTATCATTGTGATTCCTATACTAAGCTGAAAGCCAACAAAAAAAATGTAAAGTTGTCTGCAGGGAAACTTTGAAAAAGGTCTTAGAAAGCTGTAAACCTGAGGCAGAAAAGCCCAACATCCCTACTGCTATATATAGTATACATCACTATTGCAAAGAGGACACTAGTTTCTAGTTATTTTTACGAATAATTTTTGTATACTGGTTACACGGACTCATTCTTGCTTTTATTTAGGATTTGAGCAGCTGACTGGATTTGTAAGGTCAGGCAGTGAGGAAAAACTGCAAACTAAGGGGGCTATTTAATCATTTTAACCAGTCCTCAATTACATATTATACAAGACCCGGATGAATATATTACAAGCAATATCAGTAAACTTGAACTATGGAATGAAATATATGTGGAAGGATCTTACCTAATAGGTTTCACTCTACCCCAAATTTACTGAAGCCAGTCTACTAAACAGTTGTTTTTATGGGGACTCCATTGTCTTCTCTGTGCTAGATGTTATTGTTATGTACCAGGAGAAAATAATGTACACTTTGACTTCCTGATAATATTGTATTTCTATATATACTGACAGAAATACCACTTTTTCATTTTAGGGAGAATTTGTTATAAAGCTAAGAAAACATTTAAATTAATATTACTAGTATAGTCTATGGGTTCGCTGAAGGAATGTCTGTTCCAGATGCATTTAATTTGCTTTTATCCTCATTACTTCAATTCTTTCTTCCTTAGAGCTTCTTCTCTGTGCCTCAGTTTTTCCACCTATGAAATGAATACAGCCATATCTGTCCCTGAAAGAAGTGTATCAAAAGATTTTAAAGACATAGGCATTATTTAAAGGGAATATAATTTTATTCAAAAATATCAGTATTATGTTTCTTGCAGGGAGCTGCTGAAAGCTAGTTTTGGGGTTTTTTTTTTTTTTTTAATGAGTTCATTCTATGGACAGGGAAAATACCATTCTTAATATCTAAATATATGCCCTGTGGTACATAATTCAAGCGAAGACATTAGTAAGAACTCATATTCAGCTTTATATGTGCACACAGACATCACTATACAGATGTACATGGGTTAACATATATACATATTTCCCAGCTCTGTTTGCTGGGAGGGTCTAGCAGCACTGACATCCCAGTAGCAATGAGCACATCCAGTACCCAAAAACTGGTTTCTAAGTTCCACTAGAAACCCTTCTCCAATAAAATGGATTGGTGCAATTTGGAGAAGAAGCAGAGTCTAGTGCTGGAAATATACAAGACGAGCCCAGAGCAACTTTCCTACATTCTTGCCAGAAATTATGGAAGTGTTCGGAAGTCAAAAGGATGGGGACAGATCAAAGACACACAGAACCTCCCTGGTGGTCTAGTGGGTAGGATTCGGTGCTCTCAAAGACACACAGGAGCCAACCTGACATAACTCCCAAGAGCCAAGCTGGAACAATTTGAGCAACAAAATTAACATTACCCAGAGTCTAAAGGAAATATACACGAGTCCATACTGATATCAATTAGTGAGGTGGGGGTGCCTGGGTGGCTCAGTCAGTTGAGCATCCAACTTCAGCTCAGGGTTCATGGGTTCAAGCCCCGTGTCAGGCTCTGTGCTGACCCCTTGCTCAGACCCTGGGGCTACTTCAGACTCTGTATCTCCTCCCTCTCTGCTCCTCCCCACCTTGTGTTCTGTCTCACTCTGTCTCTCAAAAATAAATATAAAAGCAAAAATTAAAAAAAAAAAATTGAGGTGGGAGGAGACAAATCTTTCTTACAGAAAAATTCCAAGCACTACATAAAGATACTCCCTCTTCCAGGACGTGGAACAGAATCTTGCCCACTCACCACCTCCCATAGATGGACGTGAGGGCCGACTTCCAAAGAACAGAAGTATGCAAAGAGCAAAATAAGAAGTGTCCAGAGTTAACACACCATCAAGTTGTCAACATTCAATTACTGATATGATTTGATGAGAAGAGCCCTTCTTCACCTTTGTGGTTTTCTTCCAAAATATCCATAACCCCAGTGCAATTATGAGGGAAACCTCAGAGAAGCTCAAATTGAGGGGCATTCTGCAAAATACTGACCAGTACTCCTCAAAACTGTCAAGATTATGAAAAACAAGCCTAAGGAACCATCACAGCCCAGAGGTTTATCAGACATGATGACTAAATGCAATGTAGTATCTTATGTTTCATGGTTATGTAAGATGTTAGGGGTAGGAGTACAGTGCAAGTCTAGATTATTTTAGCAACTTTTCTGTAAATCTTAAAACTATTCCAAGATCAAAATCTTCATATAAACAGTTTCTACTGATCTTTGTCTATAATTTATGACCATGAATTAAATATTTTACAGAATTCTGAGTCTGTCCTCTTGAAAAACCAATGCTGCCAAGAAAAACCCATGAATTTATTATTAGTTTAAAGTTACCCGGTCAAGTATTTCAATAGTAAATATTGATAAGAGATTAAATATTGAATAATGGCTTATAAAATTGTTGCCTTTTAAAAAGTCTGAAAAGTATCAATTAAGGGTTCCAAACATTTAAGTTAGGCCCCAGTTTGCTCCATTAATCAGAAGAGATACTCTTGCCTGGTCTCATAAAGAACACATCTCTTAGCAGAATAGCTCTCCCATCTCGGTTTGGGAAGTTATTAGGTTCTCAGAAATGATATATATCCAAGGTTAGGAATGTGGCCCTTTCTCTAGAACATAGTTTTCTCTCTGCCCACTTCTGCCTGTAATGACTTAAGAAGACCCACTTCTCTGGAGCTGCTTTCTCGGACATTCCAAGCAGTTCATCCTAATAACTTTGGCCATAGGCTACCCAAAAGTTTTATATGGCTTCAACACACACAGACATTTTCAGAGACAGTTAAGGGTCTGGGATTTGCTTTTAAACATGGGCTAATAATTTTCAACGTAAGTAAGAAGTCTATAAAAGAGGGGCGCCTGGTGGCTTAGTCGGTTAAGCATCCGACTTTCACTTAGGTCATGATCTCGCGGTTCGTGGGTTCGAGCCCCGCATCGGGCTCTGTGCTGACTGCCAGCTCAGAGCCTGGAGTCTGTTTCAGTCTGTGACTCCCTCTCTCTCTGACCCTCCCCTGCTCACGCTGTCTCTCTCTCTGTCTCTCCTAGAAATAAATAAAAATATAAAAAAAAAAAAGTCTATAAAAGATAGCTTTGTATCTTCTTTTACCATCCGTTTTGATTCCACAGTTAAACTTAAAAAAATTTTTTTTCAAAAGCAATGTTTAGTAAGACCACTTTTAGGAAAAGGTTACAGTCTTAAAAATATACCTGAATGTACTCTGAGGACCAAGTACTAGGGAGTAACAACAAAGCAGGGCAGCATATAATGCTCTAATGTGTATGTGAAGTACCTTTTCACTTGTCTTATTGTCTCTTCAATTTAGCCAAAGGTTATAGCAAAATATGGTATTTGTCATATGAATACTTCATGAGATGGGAGTGGCTATTCATCTGAATTTTGTTCATGTCACATAACATAATACTGAGCTATCCTGGTTTTGCTCCCCAAGAGGCCACCAGCTGCTGGCTTCAATTTTACCAGAAAAAGAGCCATGGAGACCTTGTCCTTATAACCAATCTTGTCATTAATAGAAATGAGACTTCTCATACGTGGATACGGACAAACTTAACAGAAGACCATGGCGGAAGGGAAAGGGAAAAATAATAGTTATTTATTTTTTTATATTTTTTATATTAAAACAGAAGGAGGGAGGCAAACCGCAAGAGACTCTTAAATACAGAGAATGGAGGGTAGATGGGGGGTTGGGGAGTGGAGAATGGGTGATGGGCATTGAGGAGGGCGCTTTTTGGGATGAGCGCTGGGTGTTGTATGAAGTGACAAACCATGGGAATCTACCCCAAAAACCAACAGCACACTTTACACACTGTATGTTAGCCAATTTGACAATAAATTATATTAAAAAAAAAAACCCAAAACTAAAATAATAGAGTAAGGCTTATTCATATGGTCTATGGGCTACAGGAAAACAGCATCTTGTGTGTTAATTAAAATAGAGAAAAAATAAAGTCAGATCCTTCAGGCATAATATATATTTAAAATTTTGTAATAAACATATTTCTAAGTGAAGATTTCCCCACATTTTCAAATAAGATAATGCTGAACACACACTGTAATCAATTTTACACTTGACCTCATTGTTTTGGTAAATACAGTTGTGAAAGCTGAGTTACAGACTCAACTTCTTTTAAAATATTCTCCCCTTAACATGCACCTCTTTCCGAGACTGGTCAAGACAACTTGGCACACGAAGGCAGCAATGTCCAGGAAGATCATCTCCCCCACTTTTGGCTTTAGTTTGAAGTTTTAATGTCAAAAGAAATCTTAAAATAATCCTTTCACAAAAGTAAGGCGGCTTTATGCTATAAAAACGTTCTTTCTTCTTCAAAGGTTATGTTCTGTCCTCCTCTGCTGTCGACACCTGTCAGCATCTTCTTCAAAGATCACTCTTTTCTTCATAGCGACACCTACACGCGGCCCGCTGGCTGTCCAGGTACGGTTTGCAGCCTAAATGTATAACACTGTCAAACAAGAGCTCCACTGCTGTTTCACATGCTGCGAAGTAAGAAAGCGCCGTTACCACTTGGCAACCGCAGAGCACTGCTCTCTTCTCACGTACATTGCATGTTACAGCACGATGTCAAGCACATGCTTGGTGGGCACCTAACAGGTGACGTCACCCTCCCACACCCTCGCAAGCCAGAGTGGCCACATACAGACTGTGGGTGTCAGCACCTTTGACCTGTATCTGCTTTGTTTGCTCTCAACTGTTTAGTTTTTTATGTACTCAGCAAACAAGTCTCTCTCAATAGTACTGATTAGTTCATCCCTGTTAATTTTCCTTTTATCTGAAAAATACCATGATTAAAGATGCCTTAGAACACTCAAAGTTTGCATTTCAATAAAAGGTTTTTAGGTGTAGAAGAAATAAACGTTAAAAACAGAGAAACCTCCAAACGCTTAATTATGACCAATGACTTCTAAGAATCGATCACATATCATTTAAGATGCTTAAGGTAAATGGACTCCACAGTCTTTTTCTCTCTCTTTCTCATTAACCACATTTGGCTTGGGAAGAGAGACACAGGAACCAAAAAACACTTTTCCCCTGGCAGGGTTTAAATCATTTTTTAGGGGAAAAAAATGTAATATGGGGTACTTGGGTGGCTCAGTCAGTTAAGCGTTCGACTCTTGATTTCAGTTCAGGTTATGATCTCACCACTCATGAATTTGATCCCTGTGTCAGAGCCTAACAGTGCAGAGCCTGCTTGGGATTCTCTCTCTCCCTCTCCTTCTGCTCCTTTCATGTGCTCGCTCGCTCTCAAAATAAATAAATAAACTTAAAAAAAAGGTAATAGACTTTTCTTATTTTCAGAAGCCTAGAGCAGCGAGATTAGATTATCTTAATACACGCCACTTACAGAGACATAGCACAGAGTGGCTTTTAATTGTCCAAACTTCCAGTTTCAAATACTCACGTTAAGGAAGAAACTATTCATTGCGAAATCTTGACATTTTCAAAGTTCTCTAAAAGGCTGTGTCATTAAGGAACACAACTACCACAGAAGCCAAAAGGCTATAATTATTACACAGGGCATTGCAAGGAAACTGGCTATGTCATTTAGCCACACTAGTAGGTCCTTAGATCCGGAGACAGGAGATACATCCATGCACGCTTCAGCAGGACAACTAGTTGACCTTAGCCGAAAGCACGCAAGGGCATTCAGAGGCTGGGAGCTCAAACTGCACCTGCGGCAGAGATTTCTTCCTTGACAGTTATTACTAGGAATTCAGAATCAGACGCTGTAAACAGGACACTGTCTGGGCAAGACTGTAGTAGACAGAACACCAAGTTTATAACCAGAAATATGCAACTTGGGACAAGTTACTTCTTTCTGAACCTGTTGCTTCCTTCCTTGAAAAATGGGTATACCACAACCTTCTTGTGTCGCTTTTTGTGAACACTGAGGAAAACCTACCTAAGATATGTAGCAATGATATCTTATGAAAAGTGCTTCTTAAAAAGTTAGTTTCCTGTCCTGCCCCTTCTCTTCTAATTTCGATGTACAGTAAATACTTCAGCTGGACGGTGAAGAGGTTTTGTAATTTCTAGTATTTATACAGTGACCTGTACTTCCACAAATATTTCATTTTATACTTGTGATGACTCTGTGAAGTGCATATTATTGTTTTTATGAATGAGAACACTGAAGCACCTTTACCCTTTGCTGATTTTGATTTGTGTCCCTTCACTGTGAGTACGACTATATGCTGAATCCTGTGAGTCCTCCTAGCAAACCTGGGGGTGGTTTGGGGGACCCTCCTGACAGAGATACATATGAAGGGACAGGGTTAAGGCTCAAATCTTCTAGAACTTCCCACTCCAAATACAACGGGTAATACTCTTAAAATCACTGGATCCAGGGTCTCAAACTTTAGGCTCTGGAGAATTACAGATGTACTACAGGGCACAAGACTTTGGATGAATTCTTCTCTGCCTTGCACAGCCCGCTCCCAAGGGTTCCTAACACTTTTGGCTTCCACGACTATAACGCATTTGAGGTGACAAAACCAATGACTCCTCATCTCAAAAAACTGAAGGGGCCGTGTCACGACTGATAAAGTGGCACACAGCCTTACCCTGAACATGCTGAGCCAGCCCGAGTGTCTTCTGCACGTTCCGGCAGATCTTAGAGAGGCAGTACTGGAATTCCTCATCACAGTCGTTCTTGCTTTTGCCACAGGTCTCGTAGCACCTGTCGTGCTGGTTGCAGCACTTTGTCAGGGAAGGGATGCCAATATCGAGCTGAAAGAGGCATTTGGATGGATTACTGCCGATGAAATTCACAACTCCTCTGCCGAAGCACTGCATTCAAACAGACTGAGAAATCAAGGACAATGACTGCTGCATAATTTCCAAAATCCATTTCCGTCTACAAATTTTTCCGTGTTATTTCTACATCTTCCCATTACTCACCCACACCCACCACTGTTCTCTCCCTCTCAGCCATGCCTCAAACTCCTTATTTTGCAATATTCACAGTTATCTGCTGGTAACAAACGTAACTTCCAGTTTTCCAAACCACCAAACAAAGTTTTAACAACAGAAAGGTCAGGCTAAGACCAAAGATTGATTTGGGGATATTCCAAAGTGTTTTGTACCTCTCCCCCTGTAAAATGGTCTTTATATGAAATGTCACTGAAAACTTTTAAGCTCCTACAACTCATATTTTATGTTATTATACTTCAATTTTTGAGTGTTAATCCACTTCCTAAATATACTGTTTCTTCGAATCTATAACTTATCTTTATCTGGTTTAAATAACTACATTCAAAACTCTTGTGTCTAGGAACTACTCATAAACATTTTTCCCCACAAAAGCTATCCCACTGAGCTTAGTTTTAATATAGAAAATATTAGGCTTTATTTATACTTTTTCATCCTAAGGAGCATTACTTCTATACTCCAAACTTTTAAGCTATGTGTTTGACATGAGGAAATCTCATTTCAACAGTATTAACATCTACAAGGTTAAAAAATAAAACATGAATTTTAGTCCATTTGGTTTTGTCAGAACTTATTAAATGTTTTAACAATAAAAGAATATACTAAACCTAATTACCATTATAATAACAAAAATTACTTGTGAACCTGAGCACACTGACAGTCTTGCATTAGTAAGAGTACCTGGATAGCCTACCAATCATAAAACGTATCAAATAAGAAAATAATAATATTTACGTGAACACCAAATAGTGGAGAGCCACATCCATTAGGCGGGGAGGGTTTATAGCCATAACGTGGGAAAGGCTTAGATCCTATAAAATATAAATGGTATCATAATTAATTTTCAAATACGATAGAAAATACATATGCAAAAAGGTCTATGATGTGCTATGCTAGCATTGGAAATATTTATTATTAAATTTTTTTCAATGTTTATTCATTTTTTTGAGGTATAGAGTGCAAGTGGGGGAAGGGCAGAGATAGAGGGAGACACAGAATCCAAAGCAGGCTCCAGGCTCTGAGCTAGCACAGAGCCTGACTCGGGGCTCAAACTCACAAACTCACGAACTCATGATCATGACCTGAGTGGAAGCTGGACGATTAACCAGCTGAGCCATCCAGGTGGCCCGGAAATATTTAATATTTAGATACTGACATAAATGAGTGTCTTTATTCGAAGCCTATACCATATAAAAGCTTACTTTGGACTTTAGGAAATCTCACAGGTTACTTGCCAGACTGGTCCCATATGTATGACAGATAAATCCACCTTATCTCCCTGTATATTCTAACACTTACATCTTTTGGTTAAAAACTTACAGGGCAAGAACTGTATACTTCAGTCGATACTCCACTGCACACAAACATCAATAACCATTAACTAACCAGTTTACTCATAGAGCTTAACGCTAAGAAAGATAAGGTTAAGACATTACAGGACCACACATTCTAGTCTGCACTCCAGCCAACCATTTCACAAATATACTCCTTTTCCAGCTAAACAAAAAGGTCAGGAATAAAGATAGCTTGGTGAACCCTATTACTACAGTTATATTCTCCCTAACAGCATAATGGTTCAATAACAAGGAGAAAGATGACTTTATCACAGCAATCTTTTATTTTTTTTAGTTTTTTAATGTTTATTACTTTGAGAGAGATACGGAGTGTGAGCAGGGGAGGGGCAGAGAGAAAGGGAGACACAGAATCTGAAGTAGGTTCCAGGCTCTGAGCTGTCAGCACAGAGCCCGATGCGGGGTTCAAACTCCCACCTCGAGATCACGACCTGAGCCAAAGTCGAACGTTCAACCTACTGAGCCACCCAGGTGCCCCTATCACAGCAATCTTAAATGCTGCAAGATACATCAGAAGTCTCTCTCCTCAAGTAATATAGAAATGATTCCAATATACCCAACAGGCACCTAACTTTCTCTTGAATGTTTCTCACAATCCTCCTACTGTCAAGAAATAGCCTATTGCGTTGTGGAACAGCACTAACTGTTAAATTCTCTCCTGTTTTCTTGTAAATTCTACCTATAAACAATCCTCTACCACTTGGGGAACACAAAACAAGCCAGTTACCTATTTTACATCCTAATCCTTCCAACATCTGGGACTACCATTTATCTTTAATTTTAAGAGCAAAACATCCCCAAGTATTCCAAATACTTCCCCAGAATTGCTTACTTAAGAGAGACACAAAGTATCCACCAACTTTCATCTAAATAATATTTATTACTACAAGACTTAAATAAAGGTAAGTTTACCCTCCAAAAGTAAAGGGAGGGGGGAAAAAGCAACCTTTCTGGTAATCAGCCATCAAAATAAGTAACTCCCTCAAAGTAAGGATCTAAAAATGGTTGGAATTGCTAAGACTTACATGCTTGACTGAGGTGACAAAGTAGAGCCTGAAGAGAGTATAAGCTCATGAAGATACAAAGCTTTAGCCTGCAGCACCCAGTCTGAAGAACAGTATGTACAAAGAGAATGGTTATGACCAATCGAGGAATCAGGAGGCAGAAGCTGATCTGGTTTCCCCAGCACTGTCCCAAAAGGATGGTTGGTTCTGGGCCCTTGGAAAATGAAGGAACATACCTCCAGCTCTCAGGGACCAGTCACTGTGATCCTTCAACTCCTACTTTTAGTCTTTCATTCTTAAGAAAACAATTTATGATTTGGCTTTCCACTTAAAAGGGCCCACAGAGGGAGGATATACTAACCACTTGAAAGTCTTAACTGGCACCTCAAACTCAAAATGTACCTCCTGACATTCATCCCCAAACCTGCTCCATCCACAGTTCCCTCTTCTCAAGCAAAAGCCTCCAAGCTTCCGGGTGCTCAGGATAATACCTTAGCCATCACTGACTCTCACTTTCTTCCATCCCACATCCATGCCAGCAGGCAGTATGTCCTGTTGACTCTACCTTTAAAATATTCAGAGTCTAATCACTCCTTACCACCTCCACTGCTACTGTCCTGCTTAAAGCCACCATGGATTACTGCCATAATGTCCTAGTGTCTCCCTACTGTGCTTTCCCCACCCCACCCCACCTCAACTATAGTCTATTCTCAACACTGAACCTGAGCGATCCTATTAAAATATGTTAGAGCAAGTCTTCCCTCTGCCCAAACCCCTCCAAGGGCTTCTCATCTTATTCAGAATAAAAGCTAAAATCCTTTCAATGCCTATAAATTCGGTATACTCTGCACCTCTACACACACACACCATGACTTCTCTGACCTCATCTCTTCACTATTCTCTCTTCTCTCCCTTTCTTCCACACTTCATTCCATGACATCTGACCTCTCTGTGGTTCCACAGACATTCCAGGTCTACTCCTGCCTCTGTGCCATCGAACCTGCCTTCTTCTATGTGGGTGTTCTTTCTCCTCATACCTACAGTTATTCCTTCACTTTCTAAGCAAGGCCTTCTGTGACCATACCGTTCGTAGCACGCATAACCTTCAAACATACTGTATCATTAACCTACTTTTTATCTGTCTCCCCATACTAAAACATTAACTCCTTTAAGGCAGGAATTTCATTTTGTACCTTCAAAATCTACAACAGTGCCTGCTATATGGTTAGGTTCCCATTAAATATTTGCTAATGAATGAATGAGGAGATGACTTGGAAGGCAAATCCCCATGGCAGTTCTAATAGTCCTTATAAATAAACTGGGACTCCTGCTCATCCTTCCATCTCCTTTTAGTTTGGTGAGCATTAATCAACCTCCAAAGACTGATCACTTCTAGTTTGTCACACATCTTTAAAATGTGCCGTCTCAAACTGAACACCACTAGGTATGATGGTGTACTTGAGCCTAAGAGAGTTCTCAGTGGTTAAGATACATCAGACAGTAGGAAAAACCATCAGTTCTTTCTAAAGGAAATTTTTTAATATCTAATGCTAGAGACTTAGCACTTCTACAGTTTAAATTTTGAGTCTAAATATTAGATTGCGAATCTCTTGTTAGTTCATTATTCAGGACTGTTCAGCACATTTTTTTAAACTTTACTTTTATTTTATTTAAAAAAAATTTTTTTTAACGTTTTTTTGTTTCTGAGAGAGAGAGAGACAGACAGAGTGAGCAGGGGAGGGTCAGAGAGAGAGACGGAGATACAGTATCTGAAACAGGCTCCAGGCTCTGAGCTAGCTGTCAGCACAGAGCCCGACATGGGGCTCGAACCCATGAACAGTGAGATCATGACCTGAGCCAAAGTTGGCCACCCAACCGACTGAGCCACCCAGGCGCCCCTTATTTTACTTTTTTTTTTTTTTTTTTGAGAGAGACAGAGCGGAAGAGAGAGGGAATCCCACGCAGACTCCGTGCTGTCAGTGCAGAGCCTGATGTGGGGCTCAAACCCATAAACCATGAGATCATGAGCTGAGCCAAAACCAAGAGTGGGATGACTGAGCCACCCAGGTGCCCCTGTTCAGCACATTTTAAATTTAGATCTATCTACCCAGTGTTACTGCTCCCAGATATGCACAAACTTGAGACACAGACATTAACCAGGGCAGACATCTGCTACACCCTGCCATAGGTAAGCCCTCTCTATAAGCAGCCATGAAGTCATTAACCCAACCTTTTGGGTAGACGACTCAACCAGTTGTGACTTCATCTAAATCAAGTTCGTCCAGCCTACATTTCTCATGAGAGTATCATGAGAAGCTAGCCATTTGACTTACGGTTTTCTTTGTCCCACCTACCACATGAGAACTCTTCTCAGTGAGTGGATGGAGGCTAGATAAGCATTATATTCTTGGGGAAGCCATTCTATTTCCTTGAAGCTTCATCATGATGCTGTCAGTGGTTTTAACAACCAACTGTTTAGGGGCACCTTGGTGGCTCAGTTCACTAAGTGTCCACCTGTTAGCTTAGGTCATAATCTCAGGGTTGTGAGATCAAGCCCCATATCAGGCTTCATGCCCATTTTTTAAAAAGTTTATTTATTTTGACAGAAAGAGCGAGAGCAAGTAGAGGAGTGGCAGGGAGGGAAAGAGAAAAATCCAAGCAGGCTCTGCACTGCCAGCAAAGGACCCCACATGGGGCTCAAACTCATGAGATCATGACCTGAGCTGAAATCTAGAGTCAGACGTTTAACCAACTAAGCCACCCAAGTACCCCACAAATGTTTCTGTCTTGATACTTTGTTTTATCATCTGTATGGACAGAAGAAATCTAAAAATTTGCCTGAACTGAGGTAACGATAGATCTTGTCTACATATTTTTTAAAAATTTGATGTAAATTCTTCCAAACAGACCAATTTCCTTCCAATTTCCTGAAAGCCACGGAAGCAGATGGCCTCTCAGAAAGGGAAGGCTATTGCAATCCCTATCAACCTAACACCAGCATTCTGCACAAAGCTAGAACAAACAATCCTAAAATTTGTATGGAACCAGAAAAGACCCCAAATAGCCAAAGAAATCATGTTAAAACAACAACAACAACAACAAAACTGGAGGCATCACATTCCCAGACTTCAACATCGATTACAAACTGTAATCACCAAGACACTATGGTACTGGCACAAAAACATACAGATCAATAAAACAGAGAATAATAGAGAACCTAGAAATGGACCCACAAACGTATGACTAACTAATCTTTGACAAAGCAGCAAAGAATATCCAATGGAATAAAGACAGTGTCTTCAGAAAATGGTGTTGGGAAAACTGGACAGCAACATGCAGAAGAATGAACCTGGACCGTTTTCTTACACCATACACAAAAATAAACTCAAAATGAATGAAAGACCTAAACCTAAGATAGGAAGCCATGAAAATCCTAGAAGAGAAAGCAGGCAGAAACCTCTTTGACCTCAGCTACGGCAACATCTTACTCAATACAGCTCCAGAGTCAAGGGAAACAAAAGCAAAAATGAACTACTGGAACCTCATCAAGACAGAAAGTTTCTGCACAGCAAAGGAAACAATCAGCAAGCCTAAAAGGCAAACAATGGAATGGGAGAAGATATTTACTAATGACATATCAGATAAACGGTTGGTATCCAAAATCTTTAAAGAATTTACCAAACTCAACACCCAAAAACAAATACTCCAGTGAAGAAATGGGCTAAAGACATGAACAGACACTTCTCCAAAGAAGGCATCCAGATGGCCAATAGGCACATGAAATGATGCTCAACATCACTCATCATCCGGGAAATACAAATCAAAACCACAATGAGATACCACCTCACGCCTGTCAGAATGGCTAACATTAACAATTCAGGCAACAACAGACGTTGGTGAGGATGCAGAGAAAGAGGATCTCTTTTGCACTGCTGGTGGGAATGCAAACTGGTGCAGCCACTCTGGAAAACAGTATGGAGGTTCCTCAAAAAATTAAAAACAGAACTACCCTATGACCCAGCAATTGCACTACTAGGTATTTATCCAAGGTGTGCTGTTTCAAAAGGGCACATGCAGCCCTATGTTTATAGCAGCACTATCAACAATAGCTAAAGTATGGAACGAAACCAGATGTCCATCGATGGATGAATGGATAAAGAAGATGTGGTCCGTCTGTCTGTCTGTCTATCTACCTATCTACACACAATGGAGTATTACACAGTGATCAAAAAGAATGAAATCTTGCCATTTGCAACTATATGGATGGAAATGGAGGGTATTATGCTAAGTGAAATTAGTCAGAAAAGGACAAATATCATATCACTTCACTCATATGAGGAATTTAAGGTACAAGACAGATGAACATAAGGGAAGAGAAGCAAAAATAATATAAAAACAGGGAGGGGAACAAAACATAGGAGACTCTTTAAAAATATAGAGGACTGAGGGTTACTGGAGGGGTTGTGGAAAGGGGGATGGGCAAAATGGGTGAGGGGCATTAAGGAATCTACTCCTGAAGTCATTGTTGCACTGTATGCTAACTAACTTGGATGTAAACTTAAAATTAATTAATTACTTAATTTAAAAAAAAAGAAAGAAAGAAAGAGAAGGCTGTTGGGTCAAAGGTATCACCACTGTGCTCTATAGGAAATGAAGTGTAGAAATGCAAATCTGTTTTCTCAAACACTTGAGATTTTAATTCATGATTATTAATCTGTAGAGTGCCCTTGTGCTACTTTATTTTTCTAGTCCATTCACTCTATTTTCCTCAAATGTCCAATACATTTCTATTCCCATCTTCTCTCAGCTGTGATGCTCTTGATTCCTACTTCACTGAGAAAACCGAGGCAATTAGGAGAGAATTGGCCAATCTATCCACCTAATGAGCATCTGGGCCCATATCCTCTACCTTTGTTCCTATTAACAGGAATATATCCTCTGTGCTCTCGGCCAATGTATTTACATACTGGAACCCACTCCTGTCACTTACCTAAGGACATGGCACAAATAATTATTCTTCTTTCCTGCTGTGTTTTCACTCTCTACTGAATCATTCTCGAAAGCATATAAATATGTTATTATTTTTCCTAATGACCTAAAAACTTTTTTCCATGTCTGCCCTATTACAGCTAACGGCAACCCCATCCTACCAGTTATTCAGGCCAAAAACTTGTATTCTCTTCACACCTTCCTTCCAAGCCATCAGCAAATCCTTCAAAATATATCCAAAAATCCAACCACTTCTCACCATGTTTACTGCTACAAACCTGGAGAAAACGACCATCGTCTTTTGTCTGAATTCCTGCACTTGTCACCCTGCCTCCCTTCTTGCACTCCCACCTCCCTGGACCCTTGTTATGCTCTGCACCACAGTCAAAGGGATCCTGTTAAAAATCACTGCATGGGTTTACTTATTCATAATTCTAAACATTTTACAAGCCAATTTTGTTTTCTATTTTTCAGAAGAGATCAGAAAGTTTTCTTCCTCAAATCTTCTCTGTTGTCAGAGAGAAAAAAATTAAGGGAAAAAAACCAGCCACTATCTAATGGTTATTAGATTAGTTCTCCCAAATAACTTACTTCAATCTCAATAAAGCCTTGTTCCCACACTAGGGAGGATGGCCAGAAGGGAGCAAGTCTCCATAAAGCCAATCCTTTTGATAAAACAAAGAAAACTGAATGCAACAAGTCTGTGCCCTTTAATCTGACCACCCTCTCCCTACTGCGAAGTTTTTTTTTTTCTTTCTTTTTTTTAAGCTCCCTTTATCTCTTTACTGCAACTACTAAACACCTCTGAATCACCATGCTCCTCTAGCTTTGGGATTTGTCTGTTTCTGTTTGGTTCTGATTTGGTCACCTGCATTCCAAAATACAGGAAAAGTTGAAACACTGTTCTAGGGAGACTTCTCAGGTAACAGCAATTAAAGAACAATTTTCATTATGCTAGAATTATCAACACGGTGACTTGGAACCACAGTCCTATAAGCTGACAGCATTTACTAAGACACAAAAGGATGCTCACTGATGAATGCCATTTCCTAAATTCTCAAGTTCATTTGTGGGGTTTTTTGTTGTTGTTGTTATGCCAGAGATCTTGCTCAAAACTTCACATGGTAAATTTAGTGGGGCTTGTTGAAGATAAAAAGGGTTGAGTAAAACAAAAGATTAAAGTCATCTTTATAATAGGAATAATAGCCAATCAAATGCAGAGATATTTTAAATGCAAACAAACTCTAGAACCCTTGACTCATAACAAGTAAATGAAGACTGCTCCTTCCAGGCTTTCCCTATCTCAGTAAAGGGCAACTACATCCTTCCTCTGGTTCAGGCCAAAACCTTGAGTCATCCTTGACCGGCCTTTCTCAGCAGGGCCTTTTCACTGGCCATTCTCTCTGCCTACAGGGTTCCTCCCCCCCAGATCATCACCGTGTCACCTTCGCCATTTTCAGATTTCTTCTTAAATATTATCTTATCAGTGAGACCTTCCCTGAATAGCCTATTTAAATGAGTAAACTGCCTCCCAACACTGCCACTGCTGTTTTTACTACTGTTTTCTAAACACTGTTATACTTCAGACTACATATACTGCCTATTTGGCTTATTCTACTTATTTAGTTTACTACTGTCTCTCCCCACCAGAATGTAAGCTACATGATGAATTTTGTCTGTTTTCTTTACTACTGAATCTCCAATTGGTAGAACACTTGAGACCTAACTGGCACTCAAGTACTTGTATAGTGACTAAGTAAAATTATATCTGCCTCACGAAAGGCAACCATTTAATCTTCATATAATTCACTTACTCCTCTTAACAAGCTCTACGACTACAAAACGACAAAAACATCCTTCCTGATTGCATACTTGTGGTAACATCTAGGTGTAAATTTAGGAAGGAAACATTCCACACTTCGTAGCATTCAAGACATGGCTCATTCTTTAACTCGATTAACATAAAACTGGAAATTATTTTGACAATATCAGACAGCAGGTGGCATCACAATTTTACATGAAAGAGATTTATTTTAAATTCACCTGCATGCAAGCTGGTTTTACCATTAGTCACTGAGTTCCCTATTACTTTGAGCTGCCAATCATTAAATGAACTAGGCCCAGACTTCTCTTATTGGAGACATGATCTCCCTATCAAAATCTTAACATCTTGAATTTTCAAAGAGAAGCCCTACTATTTTCTCGGAACTGTTACAATATTTAAACATTCAAAAAAAGGCAAGTACTTGAAAAGAAAGATCTCTGCTAAGATACTGAGTTAATTAAAACCAACAATGCCCTCAAATAAGTTCTCAAGATTCAAACAGATTTAAAGTTTAAAAATATGAAAAAGTAAACCAAAACAATTACATTAGTATTAATCAATACTAATTGGAAGAGGGGTCACTGATATCCAAGGAAAGACAGTTCCTACCAAGTCGTGATAGACATTTCTCCAAGAGTTATCAGAACTCTTTCTCAACAACAGAGCACACTAAAAGTCTGTACAAAGGTCGTAATTTATTTTCTGTAGCTCTGTAGAAAAAAAAGAATTTAAAACCAATTACTGAGAAAGTTAAAACGTCCTGATTAAAATTCTCGGTATATATTCTGCATGTTCGGCCGACTAACGGCGCTAAAATACAGAGCAAAAATCAGTGTGTTCCACTCCATTACCTTGATGTGTACGTCACAAAGTTCTTAGGCAACTTCGTGCAATAGCAAAAGAAAAAACGAGAGAAAGAAAAGGTAGTAATTCAAAAGCAATGAAACCAGAACGGAGAATATACCCTTAGGTGACCTCTTACATCCTAACAATAATGGTGTGAGCGTCTAGCCTGACTGCTCAAGCACAAGAACGGGAAGATTCTAGCCGTGACTAAGATTTTCCACGGCTAGAGGACAACGTCAAGGTGTGCCCTGCATCTCACCCCGCAACACCCTGGAAGCGAGGGCCTCGCAGGGCCTGGGATCCCTCTCACCGTCACTGCACTTATACTGGCAGAGCCCGTCCTCGCCTCCCAGGAGGTCCAAGGCGGCGTTCAGGTACGTGTCTATCTTGTGAACGCCGTTCCGGATGGTCTTCAGGGTGGCCCTCCAGTCGGTGGTCTGAGCCTCCTCCTGGCACCTGAGAGCGGCGGGCAGGAACAGGAGGGGCAGGAGGGCGAGCGCGGGCCGCGGGAGCAGGGCCATCCGCGCTGCGCCGGGCCGTGCCCCCCCGGAGCCCACGGCGCGCCCTAGGAAGCGGCGCCAGCCCCCAGCTCGCAGTCCCCGGCAGCCTCCATGCCCACGCCCCCTTGCGAACTGGGAGGCGGGCCCTCGCCGCCTTTACTGGGCTCGCCAAGACGCGCGACACGGCGCACGCGCCGACCTGGGCCCGCGGCGCCCTACTCTGCGCCTGCGCCGGAGCGTGGTACGTCAGAGGCCGGGGGAAGAGGGAGTGCGCAGGGCAGCTGGGGTCGTCCCCGTCGTAGTAGTGCCCACTTGCGCCTCCGCGCGGGCTCTGGTTAGTTCTGCCTAAGGGTGTGGTATGAACTCAGTACCCGTGTCGGGCACCATTCCCCAAGGAGACCGATTAAATCCGTCACCAGTAGCTGTGACCGTCGGGATTTTTTTAAAAGCCCCCTCCCGGGTGGTTGTAGGATACAGCCAGCACAGGGTCAGCCAAGCAGTTCCCTCCCCCACTCGTCCCGAGGTACAAGCTTTTCGGAGGTGTGGACACCGTTGGAGAAATGAGATGCCGTAGCCCCTTACAGAGGCGAAGGGTCCAGCCGAGTTTCGGTCCGAAATCGCGATTCTGCGTGAGAGGTGGATCCGATTCAGGATCTCGCGTTTCTCGCCCGATCTTCTATACCTGCGGTGGCTGCGGCTGGGAGAGCGTAAGCCAGACAGGTCAACCCGAGGCCAAGGTGGTGCCTGACCGGCAAGCATGAGCTAGAAGCTCCTTTAGAAATTCTCTAAGAAGAAAATAGTTTGTCGATAAAAACTGTTAGGTTTTCTTCCTTGGTAAGGAAGAAATAGTACACTTGGATACGGTTTAAAAAATATTGTAAACATGGTTTTCATACTCAACATACTTTGTAACTTGATAACTACGGTGACGTTTCTCAGTATTTTTCCCTGCGCTATGCAGAATCCTTAATAATTGCAGTGATTTTTGCCAAAGCTATAAATATCCGGTTATTTTAGTATCCGAGAAGTTTCCAAGAATTTCAGAGTAAGATCAAGGGCAATATTGCAAATATTGGGGTTAGGTGTGTATTTTCTTATTAAAATTACCAATAGAGTCTAACTTGGCGTTTTGTGCTTGTCACAAGCTTCATAAGTATAATAAAGGTGCACTTTAGAGTTCGTAAGAATCATATCCTCCTTTATTGAGAAATTACTCTGTGCCATGAACTTCACATACACAATCTCTCACAACCAGAACACTGCTTTGTAAGGATGCAGACTTTGGGTGAGTTAAAAAGGTGTCCCTCCCTACAGACAACAGATGTAGCTCAACCCCAGCCTGCCACCAGGTGTCCCTGGGCTATGATCAACTCACCACAATGGAGGTTGAGGAGTCAGGTGTGTTAGGGACAGAGTCAAGGTACAGAGAAGTCTGTGAAGTATCCAGTCAAACCAGGATGCTATTTTTACCTCATGAGATGCCAAAGATTTTTGTTTCTTCATTTTTGGACAGAGCATTTGAAAACATTCAGAAAAGGGAACATAGAATTTTTTTTTTTAAGTTTTCTGGAGCCTTGGTTTTCTCATCTCTAAAGTGTGGGTGAATTAGATCATCTCTAGAGTCCTACCCAGTTCCACCTCCCAATCCCTTAGTCCAGGTCTGGTTCTTTGAAGTGTTCAGAGAAACAATCCCATATGTGAGTATATCTTCCACAAGAAAAAAGAGAACGTAGTAACCTATTTCCAGTCCTCAGTAACTGAAGCTCCAAAGCCTTTCCTTTTTTCCTGTTCTCTGTTCATTTACTCCTTGGTGATCTCACCTAATTTTCTTTCTTTTTCTTTTTTTCTTTCTTTCTCTCATTCTCTCTTTTGTTCTTTTGTTCGTTCGTTCTTTCGTTCTTTCCTTCCTTTCTCTTTCTTTCTTTCTTAAACTTATATCCAAATTAGTATATTGTGCAGTAATGATTTCAGGAGTAGACTCTAGTGATTCATTCCCTACATATAACACCCAGTGCTTATCCCAACAAAGTGTCCTCCTTAACACACTTTGCCCACTTAGCCCATCCCTCCTCCCACAACCCCTCTAGCAACCCACAGTTCTCTGTTTTGCCACCCTCCCTGTTTTATATTATTTTTCGCTTCCTTTTCGTTCTGTTCCTTTGTTTTGTATCTTAAATTCCACATATGAGTGAAGTCATAGGATATTTGTCTTTCTCTGATTTGTTTCAGTTAGCATGATACTCTCCAGTTCCATCCATGTTGTTGCAAATGGCAAGATTTCATTCTCTTTGATCGCCATGTAATATTCCACTCTGTGTGTGTGTGTGTGTGTGTGTGTGTGTGTGTGTGTGTATCACATCTTCTTTAGCCATTCATTTGTCAATGGACATTTGGGCTCTTTTCATACTTTAGCTATTGTCAAAGTGCTCCTATAAACATTGGGGGGTGCCAAAAAACAAACAACTTAGTAAAGAAATGGGCAGAAGATATGAACAGACACTTCTCCAAAGAGGACATCCAGATGGCCAACAGACACATGAAACGATGCTCAGCATCCCTCCTCATCAGGGAAATACAAATCAAAACCACACTGAGATACCACCTCACGCCAGTCAGAGTGGCTAAAATGAGCAAATCAGAGAACTCTAGATGCTGGCGAGGATGTGGAGAAACGGGCACCCTCCTACACTGTTGGTGGGAATGTAAACTGGTACAGCCCCTCTGGAAAACAGTGTGGAGGTTCCTCAGGAAACTAACAATAGAACTCCCTTATGACCCAGCAATAGCACTGCTAGGAATTTACCCAAGGGATACAGAAATGCTGAGGCATAGGAGCACATGTACCCCAATGTTCATAGCAGCACTCTCCACAATAGCTAAAACATGGAAAGAGCCTAAGTGTCCATCAACAGATGAATGGATCAAGAAGATGTGGTTTATCTATACCATGGAATACTACATGGCAATGAGAAACAATGAAATCTGGCCATGTGTAGCAACATGGATGGACCTGGAGGGTGTTATGCTGAGCGAAATAAGTCAGGCAGAGGAGAGCTACTATATGTTTGCACGTATAGGAGGATTAGGAGAAACTTAACGCAGGACCGTGGGGGAGAAGGGGGGAAATGGTGGGGGAAAGGGAGGGAGGCAAACCATGAAAGACTCTTGAATGCTGAGAACAAACTAAGGACTGACGGGTGGCGGGGGAGGGGGGAGATGGGCATGGAGGGGGGCACTTGTGGGGATGAGCACTGGGTGTTATATGGAAACCAACCTGACAATAAACTATTTGTAAAAAAATAAATAAATAAAACAAATAAAAAAAAGAAAACATTGGGGGGTGCATGTGCCCCTTTGAAATAGCACACCTGTATCCCTTGGATAAACACCTACTAGTGCAATTGCTGGGTCATAGGGAGTTCTATTTTTAGTTTTTTGAGGAACCTCCATATGGTTTCCTAGAGTGGCTGCACCAGTTTGCATTCCCATCAGTGATGCAAAAGGGTTACTCTTTCTCTGCATCCTCACCAGCATCTATCATTGCCTGAGTTGTTAATTTTAGCCATTCTGACAGGTATAAGGTGGTATCTCACTGTGGTTTTGATTTGTATTTCCCTAATGATGAGTGATGTTGAGCATCTTTTCCTGTGTCATTTGGCCATCTGGATGTCTTTGGAGAAGTGTCTATTCATGTCTTTTGCCCATTTCTTCACTGGATTATTTGGTTTTTGGGTATTAAGTTTGGTAAGTTCTTTAAAGATTTTGGATACTAACCATTTATCTGATATGTCATTAGCAAATATCTTCTCCCATTCCATCGGTTGCCTTTTAGTTTTGCTGCTTGTTTCCTTCACCCTGCAGAAGTATCTTGATGAGGTCCCAATAGTTCATTTTACTTTTGTTTCCCTTGCCTTCAGAGACATGTTGAGTAAGAAGTTGCTACAGCCAAGGTCGAAGAAGTTTTTGCCTGCTTTCTCCTCGAGGATTTTGATGTTTCCTGTCTTACATTTATGTCTTTCATCCATTTTGAGTTTATTTTTGTATAGGGTATAAGAATGTGGTCCAGGTTCATTTTTCTGCATGTCATTGTCCAGTTTTCCCAACACCATTTGCTGAAGAGACTGTCTTTATCCCATTAGATACTCTTTCCTGCTGTGTCAAAGATTAGTTGGCTATACATTTGTGGGTCCACTTCCGGATTCTCTATTTTGTTCCCTTGTTCTGTGTGTCTGTTTTTGTGCCAGTACCATAGTGTCTTGATGATTATAGCTTTGTAATAGATCTTGAAGTCTGGGAATGTGATGCCTCCAGCTTTGTTTTTGTTGTTGTTTTGTTTTTCAGGATTACTTTGGCTATTTGGGGTCTTTTCTGATTCCATACAAATTTTAGGATTGTTTGTTCTAGCTCTATAAAGAATGCTGGTGTTATTTTGATAGGATTGCATTGGATATGTACATTGCTTTGAGTAGTATCAACATTTTAACAATATTTGTTCTTCCAATCCATAGGCATGGAATATTTTCCCATTTGTATGTGTGTGTCTTCTTCAACTTCTTTCATAAGCTTTCTATAATTTTCAGTATATAGGTTTTTCACATCTTTGGTTAGGTTTATTCCTAGGTATTTTATAGTTTTTGATGCAATTGTAAATGGGATTGATTCCTTGATATCCCTTTCTGCTGCTTCACTATTGGTGTATAGAAATGCAACTGATTTCTGTGCATTGATTTTATATCCTGTGACTTTGCTGGATTCATGAATCAGTTCTAGCAGTTTTTTTGGTAGAATTTTTCAGTTTTTCCATATAGACTATCATGCTGTCTGTGAAGAATGAAAGTTTGACTTCCTCCTGGCCAATTTGATGCCTTTCATTTCTTTTTTTTTTTAATGTCTTTATTTTATCTTCAGAGACAGAGACAGAGAGCCAGTGGGGGGAGGGGCAGAGAGAAAGGGAGACACAGAATCTGAAGCAGGCTCCAGGCTCTGAGCTGTCAGCACAGAGTCCAACACGGGGCTCGAACCCGCAGACTGTGAGATCATGACCTGAGCCAAAGTAGGATGCTTAACCAACTGAGCCACCCAGGCGCCGCTGGATGCCTTTTATTTCTTTACGTTGTCTGATAGCTGAGGATATGTTGAATAATA